GGCCGGACTGAAGTTGGTACTGGCAGGTGACCAGACTGGGGCTGCCAACACCGAGCTGCACCCCCCACCACCACCAGCACTACCATTCCGCCACGGCGACTGCTGCTGCTGCGACGGCTGCTGCTGCTGCGACGGCTGCTGCTACTGCGACGGCTTCTGCTGCTACTGCTGCTGAGGCTGCTGCTGCTGCTGCCACTGCTGAGGTTCAGCTCCTTGAGATAGGGGGAGGGCGCGACAGATAGCAAGCTGCGCAACTGCGCCACGCAACTCCTAGACGGAGCGAGTGAGCTCAGCAGCTGCAGAGATCACACTGAGCGGGCATGGGGGCGTCAGAGAGGGCTGCAGGCGGGTCGGGGCAGGGGATCTTACCGTCGATGTGGATGGTTAGAGACTGGCCATCCTGGCGCTGTCCCCTCAGCGAGCGGCGAAGGTCGGCGAGCTACGTGTCAAAGTCGATCACCCGACCCTTCGCGTCCAGACGGAGTACAGCGTCCGCCATCGCCACGGCTGAAGCAGCTGGCCACCGTTAGGGGTGGAGGAGGAGAGGGCGGTGGAGAGCAGCGGTGGAGATGGCCGGCGAGAGCACCGGCACAGAAGGGGGAAGCAAGGCTGGCTGGTCGAGGCGGCACAGCAGCACGGCGGCTCGGAGACTTGGCAATTCGGTCGCGCAGCAGCGCGGCTACTCGGCGGCTCGGCGGCACAATGGCTTGGCTACTCGGCGGCTTGGAGGCTCGGCTACTCGGCGGCTTGGAGGCTCGGCTACTCGGCGGCTTGGCGGCTCGGCTACTCGGTGGCTCGACGACGCGGCAGCGCGGCTCGGCGCAGCTCGGCGGTTCAGCGGCGGCTCGGCAGCACGGTTCAGCGGCTCGGCGTCGCAGCGGCACAGCGGCGTGGCGCGGCGGCCCGGCAGCTCGGCGCGGCGCGGTATGGCAGGGCCGGCGCGGCGTGATGGGGCCGGCGTGGATTGACGAGGCCGGCGCGGCGTGGCGAGGCCGGCGCAGCATGACGGGGCCGGTGCGGAGGAACGGGGCTGGCGCGGCGTGAACGGACCGTTGTGGCGTGACGGAGCCGGCGGGGTCTAGCGGGTCTGTCGCGGCGGGACGGTGGCGGCACGGCATGACGTGGCCGGCGCGGTCTAGCGGGGCCGGTGCGACGTGAGGGGACCGGCGCAGAGTGACGTGGCCGGCGCGGCGTGACGGGGCCGGCGCGGCGTGACGAGGCTGGTGCGGCTTGACGGGACCGGCGCGGTCTAGCGGGGCCAACGCGGTCTAGCGGGACGGGGCCAGCGCGGCGTGACAGGGTGCTAGCTAGGCCGCGGTCTAAGGCTAGGGCTAAGGCTAGAGGCGGAAGCGTAGGCGGGGAGGGGGACCTAACCTAGCATGATACCATGTTAAAATAACGCAATGAAGCAGATTGTGTCATACAGGGAGGTTTTGTGCTATGGTGATGCACCCTCTATGAGCATGCACTTAAAAGCCTATAACATATACAAATATTTGTTGACAGTTGCCCCATAGCTAATACATCGGGGCGCGTCTGTGGACTCTCCCGCCACTGCCATGGCCGAGACCAGCGCCACCCTTCGCCGTGCAGGACGTGAGTCTGCCACTTGTAAGTGTTTGACTAGTTTGTATGAGCAGCGCCATCTTTCGTGCGATGACAGAGTTACACATGTCATTTACCTAACCCTTTTCTTGACCGTGTTGGCCCTTGGCAGTGATCCCCACCCCTACCACCAACGGACCTGAGACTAGCGCGGCTGGTGCTCGCCGTGCAAGACACAAGACTAGCGCGGCTGGTGCTCGCCGTGCAGGACCCGAGACTAGCGCGAGTGGTGCGTCAGGTGCGTGGAGTTTGTTGAGCTGTTGTCTTTGCTTTTCCCATTCGTGCTCTATTAATAACCTTCAGCGCATCTTGCAAAAACTCCTACCTCTGCTAGGGGCATGCTATTATGGCGGTATCCTAGTGGGCATGGCCCTTATAGTAGCTTGTTTTGCTGAATTCGTAGTTGTTTTACTTAGATTGGATGCGATAGTCTAAATATGCGATAGGATGTTATTGTAGTTAGGAGGATAGCATGTCCAATCTAAACGCGAAATGCTTACTATTTTTGCTAAATCAACGTAAATTTTTCGGTTAGCCCTGATTGAAAAGCCAACTTTCGCAATTGAACACTTATGAAACAGCTTTGTTTTTTCAGTCAAGACTGATGATAAGTTTTTTTTTTTAGTACAACACTGAGTATTAAATTATATCTTTAACATATAATTGGTAGGCTTGGTAGGTGATACTGAAACCTACTGTAGAGAGTACAACCCCCCTCCTTGTATCCCTCTCTCTTCGATTCTTGACTCACATTTCTCTCGTCAACTTCCTCTCCTAGCTAAACCCTCGTGCCATTCCATGGCTTCCTCTTCCTAGCATCCTAGCTAGTTTAACATGGTATCACAACAGGTTGCCCTTCCCAGGTCTGCTCCCCACGCTTCTGCCGTGTACTCGTACTTTAATCATTATTTCCGCTACTTTCGTGCCGCCATCGCGGCCATGCCGCGCTGCAGTTACGGCGTCGTGGTGCTACCGTCGCAGCCCCGACGCGTGGCGTCGACGCCACACCGCGGCGACAGCGTCGTGCTGCTATTGCAGCGTCGACGTACCGCTGTGGCAACGACGCCGCGCTATGGAGGCGGCGTTATGCTGCAGTGGCGGCGTCGACGGACGGCAGCGGGCCGCGTGACGGTTTTGGTGTTAAATTATATATTTTGTTATACAATTGGTAGGCTTGGTAGGTGTTACTGAAACCTACTGTAGAGGGTACAACTCCCCTCCTTGTATCCCTCTCTCTTCTATTCTCGAACCCTTTTTCTCTGTTCAACTTTCTCCTAGCTAAACCCTCAAGCCATTTCTATGGCTTCCCTCTACCTAGATCCTAGCTTAGTCTAACATGGTATCAGAGCAGGCCCCTTTCGCTCGGGCCTTCTCCTCACGCTTCCGCAGCGTACCCCCCCCGTCACGCCGCGCTGGCCCTGTCATGCCGCGCTGGCCCCGTCACTCCGCGCTGGCCCCGTCACGCCACTCTGGCCCCGTCACGCCGCGCCGGCCCCGTCACTCCGGGCCGGCCCTGTCCCTCCGCGCTGGCCCCGTCACGCCGCGCTGGCCCCGTCACCCCGCGCTGGCTCCGTCTTTCCGCGCTGGCCCCGTCACGCCGCGCCGGCCCCGTCACGTCGTCGTGCCTCAGTGCCTCAGTGCCGCTATGTCGCAGTGCCACCACGCCGCCGTGCCGCTGGGTCGCCGTGCCGCCGTGCCGTCGTGCTGCCGTGGCGGCTTCGCCACGCCAGTGCACGGACAGCTGCGGCCAGCGCCCTGTCCTAGGCGCCAGTCGTAACGCCCTCACGCCAGTAAGCGTCGCGCCAGCCATGGCGCCTCGCTGAAGATTCGACTCCCCCCCCCCCCCCCCCCCCCCCGCTCCCTTCTCCTTCCCCCTCGCCAAGGAGATTGGCCATGCCGCTGAGAGGGCGGTGGCCGCTGCACTCGCCTCTAACGTTGAAGCCGCCGTCGCTGCCGCTGTTGCCGCTGGCCTGTTGGCGCCGCACGCCGCCGCCACCGTCGTCGCTCTCGTCACTGCCGCGACTGCCGCCATTGCCATCTCCCGGGCCATGGGTGTTGACCGATTCCAGAGTCATCGTGGCTGCTGCTGAGAAAGGGCGGGCTAGGTTAGGGGGTGTGGATATGTGTGGGCTTGTTACTATCAAGCCTAGTGGGTGTGTTAAATTATATATTTTGTTGTATAATTGGTAGGCTTGGTAGGTTTTACTGAAACCTACTATAGAGGGTACAACCCCCCTCCTTGTATCCCTCTCTCTTCTATTCTCGAACCCTTTTTCTCTCTTCAACTTTCTCCTAGCTAAACCCTTACGCCATTTCTATGGCTTCCCTCCTACCTAGATCCTAACTTAGTCTAACATTAGGCGCCGCCGCACACGCCAGCCACGGGCGTGTTGCAGAAGCCCCGCCCCCCTTCCCTGCGTCCCCTCTTCCTCGCCGCAGCCGTTAGCTGACTCCCGCTGGCCGTCCCACCGTCGCGGAGGCCGGCCACGCTGCCGAGTGCTGCGAGCCCCGCCGCCGCCGCCGCCGCTGTAGTCGAAGCCGCCGCCGCCGCCGCTGTCGTTGCTTGCGTTGGGGCCACGCCGCCGCTATCGACGCTGCCAATGCCGCCGTCGCCGCCACAGCCCTTGCTGTCGACGTCGCCGCTTCACACGCCGAAGGGTTGACCGGGCTGGTGTAGCGTTGTTGCTACTGAGTATGGGGGTGCTAGATTTAGGTGGTGTAGTGTCCCGTGTGTGGTGTGCTTTCGGCTACCAAGCCTAGGGGGTATGTTAAATTATATCTTTTATATATAATTGGTAGGCTTGGTAGGTGTTACTCAAACCTACTATAGATGGTACAATCCTCCTCCTTGTATCCCTCTCTCTTCTATTCTGGACTCTCTTTTCTCTAGTCAACTTTCTCTCCTAGCCAAACCCTCGTGCCATTCCATGGCTTCCTCTTCCTAGCATCCTAGCTAGTTTAACACTGAGCAATCAGGGTACCTTAAAACCAATGATATTGATCCCAGTGCTAAATCCCCCACCTGCATTCACGCACTATATCTTTATGGGTAGTACCGGTACCATTTAATATAAATCTTCTAGAAACGCCCCCTAATGCTAGTGTCTTTCCTCGAGTACGGTAACAGCCCTCCTTCACTCAAACTCTCTCCACTTCGTTAAAGTATACTCGACAGAGTTGCAGTTTATGCATTCCTGATATTATACTTGGACTGTAGTAGTAGCGCGATACCTCATATGGAAGGACGCGCGTAGTGACGTCAGCAGTAGCGAGTCAATGTGTGAACAGTAAGTTCACGCGTATGGTCACCCAAAAGGGCACGCCACTCAGTTACACGAACAGTCACTAGTCATGTCACGCGAATGGTCGCGATACGTTACGAACAAGTACATTCCGACTAGTTTCTCCCTAGACTATGAATATGCATGTACCACTCATTATTATTATCCTTATCATTCGGACATTTCGAACACAAGGTGTGAAGTCTTCCGCTGACTTTTTTCGCTTGGTTCCACCAGGCTAGATCATGGCCACCCTTTGTTCTCTCCACTCTTCATGCTTATCCCTCACAAGCACAACTAAACCATGCCTCCATCGTCCATCCATCCTCCATCCATCCATCATCCATCCATCGTCCATCCATCGTACATCCACCGTCCATCCACCGTCCATCCACCATCCATCACCTCACCACCTGTGCTCTCTCCATACTCCATGCCCCTCCATATCATCCCCTCCCCCCTGCTCCCTCCCAGCCCCAACCACCCATGCTTCCCCTTCCCTTCCCCTCCCCACCACTTCCCTTTCCTTCCCCATCCAAGCCCTCAAAACCCCCCATGCTCTCTCTTAACCCATCTTCTTCCCCCACCCCCTCCCTCCACCGCATTGTTCCCTGCCCTACACCCTCACACAGTCCCTTCAAGGGCTTCCCTACCCCTGAACTGATTCCCATTACAAGCTTGCAGCCGTCCCTAAACCCTCGCCCTCCCCCAAGCCCACAACCCTTCAACCCCCACCCTGTAAATGCTTTCCTGGGTTTCCTCGCTCTCCCAGCTCCGAATTGATACCAAAGAAAGGCCTTGAAGGCAAATCAATTATTCCCTCCCCCCCCCCCCGCCTCCCCCCTCCCCCCTTCCCCCTGCCCCCACATTGTTTCCCTACCCTAGAACCTCCATCCGCCGCTTCCAAGGGTCCTCCTCGCACCGATCCGCCACCGACGCCACGCCCTGGGAGAAACCAGGGAGTGTGTGCTTCTCAACTTAAGAGCAAAACCATGGACAACCCGCTACTCGGCTCAGAAGCGAATCCAGGAACAGCAGGACGAAACGACGTCAACAGGACTCGCAGCTGACGCTAAGCAGCCACGTGGCAGTCAAGAACGTGTAGATCTAAGACGGGAGCAACTGACTGCCACGTGGCAGTCAAGTACGTGAAGATCTAGAGCGGGAGCAACTGGCTGACGGCGCCTGAAACCCCGGGCCCGGGAAAGCGACTGAATGCTGGAGTCAACTGGCTGACGTGCCTGGAAACCTAGAGCGAGCTGCGACAGCTGGTGACCGGAGCGCAGCGAAGTAAGAGGGCTGGTGGCTGGAGCGGAGCGTAGCGAAGCAAGAGAGCTGGTGAGCGGAGCGGAGTAGGAGCGTGGGATCTAGATCTACGAGGAGGGGCGCGACGAGGAGGTCGCGATAGATCCTCCTCAATCTACACCATTCTCCTCGATACAAGCTCTGCTTCGATACAAGCTCTGCTACACCGCCCTCGCGCCAGTAGCAGATCAGCTTGCTGTACGGTGTCTCGAAGCAGGCGTTTAGAAACAGGTGCCTCGAAACAGTCGTTGAGGAGAAAAGACTCTCCCCCTTGCCACCGGTACCCGATCAGGCCGCAAATCGCAGCAGCGTATGGGAGAAACGCGGGTCGCAGGAGCGACCAGACCGCGGCACTAGCGAGCAGCAGCGGAAAAAGACCAGCAGCGCTTTATCGGCAAATAGTGGAGCGGGGAGGATCTTCAAAGCGCCTCAGAAAAGGTGGGGGGGGACACATGGAAAAGTGATCGTCGCTGAGAAACGCTAGAAGCAGAGGGAATAATATCAACTATAAGACCTAAAACATCAGTCAGCTATATAGGCACGTAGCGCTTCGCCACGTGTCGGCTCGCGGTCAGCGCAGCAGCCGCTATACCCCCAACCGCACCCGCGATAGCCGCTGTCCTAGGCCCCGCCGCGGCTTTATAAAGCGCGCCGGTGCCCAGCCCTGCTGCCACCGCATTCCACGGATCGTCCACGCCTCCGCGATAGTGATACGCTGCGCCCTCGATCCCCGAGTACAGCAGCCCCACGATCCCCAGCGCGTTCCCCGCGGATCTCCCCCGCGACCCCGCCGCGTTGAGAACCCTGTTCGCGCGCAGCTTGGCGGAATCCCCCGCCTCCCACGAGCGGAGGCCCTCCGCCGTTCCGCGGATTCCGCCGAAGAGTGCCCCGCCGAGGTACCCGCAGCCGGTGAAGAAGGTGAGATTGTCGCCGAAGCTTCGCCGCTGCACGGCCGCTTCCTCCGTGAAGAGAAACTCGGGCGCGTCGGGTAGGCGATAAATGCCCTGGATCGATCGCGCGTCGAGGTTAGGGTAGAGATCGGCGTACGGATTGTAAAGGTGGCCGGACGATGGGGTGGCCGCGTCGTTGTCGTCGTGTAACGTGGCCATCGAGGGCCACGTGGCAGATCTAGTGGTGGAGAGCCACAGACGGAGCACGGAATATGGCGGCGAAGCAAGGAAAGCTCAGAAGATGCAATCGAGGAACAGCTAGGGTGGTGGGTGTTTGGAGGGGGGGGCGGGCAGAGGAGGAAAGGGAGGGGGCGGGGAAGCTAGAAGTTAGAACGTGTTCACTTGGTGCTTCCCGCGCTCGTGTCGAGCTCGCGTTCGCACAGGACACTCACGGCTGTGGTCTATAAACGTCAGTAGCCTCGCCTTCGAGGGACCTTCCTTCAAAAGGAACTGAAATGCGGTATTGTGAATACGAACTCGTTTTCAAACCCTGAGGCCCTCCCAGTTCCACGGAGGATCCAGCTGTCAGCAGCTGAAGGGAGAGAACTTTCCCAATTGCTAGTTGGCTCCCCCGCTGTAAGCAGACTTGTCAATTTATATGAGGCGCAAGCAGAAATTGTAGAATGAAGTTAGGTAAGGAGGAAAAACATACAATAAGGCCACATCAAAACAACCGAGAGAAGGAATATAGCTAGGCCTGGAGCACACGGTCAAGGTTCAGCAGAGCTGAGACGTGTGGCTGAAAAATGGCTTGGAGTGTGCATGCCATGCGTAAAACTACAAAGTTTACTAAAAAATATGCGGCATGATCTGATTTGCGTGTAAGGACTACATGTTAGAGTAGCGGGGAAAAGGTGTGGCTAGGAAGAGGGGGAAGGGAGATACAAGTACAAGAATATTGTCCTCTCTAAGAACCGGTCTAGCTAGGCTATAACAAACATATCTAAATCAACTAAATATGTGTAGATAGAATTATATGTTTGTTGACACACCCCCTAGCCTAAGTAGAGGCATAGTTGAACAAACCAGGGCAGCACTACTATTCTGGCCTTTGCTGAAGGTAGCAAGGCAACTCATGGCAGCAATACTCGTTTGACCACTGAGACAAGGGGCCACAAGACCAGTCAGAAGGTGTAGCAAGACATGCAAGCATAAAAATAGCAAGTACAAGCCGGTATAGTAGATATCAGGATACAAGGAGTGGCGCTGCTACTGAGACTAGACCAAGCTGAGTACAGAACCGCTGATGGTCACGAGGCGCAAGTGCCTTGGTGAGATATCAGCATCGTTGGCCTCTGTGGCCACATATACTACTCGAGCCTGGCCGCGCTGCTGCAACTTACGCAGCAGGAAGTACCGCAGCTGGATGTGCTTCGCTCTGCCCTCAAGTCGAACCTCCTGACACATGAGGATCATGACCCTATTGTCAACAATCAGGACCAGGGTTGACCTAGGCTGCTCACCTAAGTCTGGGAGCAAGAACGTCAGCCAGCGGAGCTCCTCAGCATCCATGCCCCCAGCGTAGATCTCTGCCTCATAACTGGACTGAGCTACACACGACGACCCGGTGGACCTCCACGAGACTGCACCAGCACAAAGGCTAAAACAGTAGCCCTAACATGACCTGAGCGTCTCTACATCGCTAGCCCACGACGCGTCAATGTGTCCAGTGAGCACCACTGGCTGCCATCCTCCTAAAACAAGCCCTAGTCCTGATTTACTCGCCAAATACCACAGTGCCTCTTGGCAGCCGACCAGTGGAGAGGTCGGTGCCTGCCTGTCGCAAAAAGCGAGCTAGGAGACTGGGCGTCACATGATCGAAATGGTCGAGAGGAAGTTGCCCTATCGAATGATACAAGATGCTTTTATACTTTCAAGGTACACCAGGTAACCAAGTTTATCCTATCCAAAGAGAATAGATCCTTCTAGAAATAGAATCACCTGTGTATAGCCATGCGATGCTATTGGCTTTAAGGGATTACAAAAGGATTATGCTAGATATAACGCGCCAGTACATCACGAATCGGGTTGGTGATATAATTATAATAAGAGAATAAACCAAAAGATAATGGGAAATGAGGAATATGAAACCAAATGAGATGATATAAAAACCAAATGAATCAGGAGAAAAGGGAGAATGAGATAGAGAAGAAAAATAGTAATGAGAAAGACGTCTAACGGGGTCGTGCTCTCACACTTCCCCCTCTCAAAGCTGGGTGGTAGAAGTAACACCCTGCTTGACAAGGTTGTCGCGAAGAGGACGACGGGCGTTACCCATGTCGAATTCAGAGACCCAACTATCCTCAGAAGGATCATAACCCTTCCATCGGATGAGAAGCTCCAAGGCGCCATTCCGACGACGGTAGTGTGCACGCACGGACTCGATCTCGTACTCGGGTTTAACATGGACAAGGACGGGCGGCGGCGACGACGGTTGGCGACCAGTGAAGATCGTGTTGGGATCTCGGTAGGGCTTCCAAGTTGCTGGCAGGCGTAAGCGGAAGGTAACAAGGGTGACCTGTGCTTCAACAAGGAAGGGCCCGTAGAAGCGAGGTCGCGGTTTGGATGGGAGATGGCTGATGTTGAGATCGTGGGTGTCGAGTAGAACACGTTCTCCTACAGTGATCGTGTGATTATTACGGTGTCGATCGGCCTCACGTTTTTGTTGCTGCTGAATATCGATGAGGCACTTGTGGGTCCGATCCCAAAGTTGATGCATGGTGGTTATGAAGTCGGGAACATGTTGGACAGTGGCTGGTGCTGTTGGTTTCTGTGGAGTGGGCGGGTTGCGTACGTAACAGAGGAAGAATGGTGTCTATCCGGTAGCGGCGTGAGGGGCGTTATCGTAGGCAAACTCCAGGACGGGTGGATGCAAGTCCCATTTGGAGATGTCATCCTTACATAATGAATAAGGTGTTGCTCTACAATTTGGTTGAGGTGTTCGGTTTGTCCGTCTGTTTGTGGATGGTAGGCGGATGACATAGCGAGTTTTGTCCCTAGCAGAGGCATCAGTACGTTCTAGAACTTGCTGGTGAACTTAGGGTCTTGGTCGGAAATGAGTGTGGTTGGGATGCCATGCTGTGAGATGATGTACCAAATGAACAGTTGTGCTGTCTCCTCGGTGGGTGTTGTCGTGTGTGCCGGGATGAAGCATCCCATTTTGGAGAATTTGTCGATAACAACAAGGGATGCGTAATGACCGTTTGTGGTAGGTGGTAACCCGGTTATGAAGTCTAGGCTAACCACTTGCCATGGCTGTTCTGGGACAAGAAGGGGCTGTAACCATCCTGCTTTCTTCTGCTTACTGCTCTTCATCCGCTGATATGTGTCGCACGAGGAGACGAATTTCTGTACATCGTCTGCCATGTGGGGCCAGTAGTAGTGTTTTGCAATACCGGAGAGCGTTTTGTTACTACCGAAGTGTCCAGCGTACTGAACATCATGGTATTCTTCGAATAATAACTGGCGCAAAGGCGGGGAGTTGGGTACCCAGATTTTCGTTGAGCCTTTTCGGTACGCGATGTCACTGTCCTACTGTAGTAGATGTCGTTTCTCTGCCAAGAGAATTTCAAGGACGATGGTGTACCCGTGTGTGAAGAGTCCCTTGAGTAGCGGGTTCATCCTTTCAACCTAGATAGTGGCAACATGTGCAGGCCGGCTAAGAGCGTCGGCTTTGGTTTTGTGACCGAGCTTGTCATAGTGGAAGTGCGTCTCGAGGAAGTCAATCCACCGGACCTGCCACCTGGAGAGGTTTGGCTGTGTCTTCGAATGTTTCAGGTTGCAGTGGTAATTGTAGACGGCCGTTTTTCGTCCTTCGAGATAATATCTCCACGTTTTTACGGCGATGAGAATAGCAAGGGCCTCTTTGTCTTATATCGGGTAATTTAGTTCTGCCCCGTGCAGTTTCTTGCTGAGGTAGGCGATTGGTTGCAGTCCATTCCCCTGGTCTTGCATCAACCCTGCTCCCACTGCCCAATCCATGGCGTCAGCTTCGATGACGTAGTCGCGTTCGAGGTCTAGCAAGATGAGTACGTGTGCGGATGTGAGTGCTTGTTTCAGCTATTCCACGGCTTCCTGGTGTTTTGTCTCCCTTTGATAGGGCGTGCTCTTCAGCAGATTCGTGAGTGGTGTGGCAATTTTTGCGTGCTGTGACACGAACCTGTTGTAATAGTTGGCGAAGCCTAGGAACTGCTGGAACTCCTTCACGTTCTCGGGTGTCTTCTACGTGCGTACGACTTCGATCTTCTTGGGGTCGACGTGGACTCCTTGAGCGCTCACCGGGTGTCCTGGGAATTGGACTTTCTTAAGGGCAAACTCACTCTTTGACAATTTGACGCAGAAATGTTTCCGTCGAAGAATCTCGAAGACGCGTCGCAGGTGTTCGACGTGCTGCTTCATGTCGCGCGAGTAGATGAGGATGTCGTCTAGATACCCCACCACACATTTATCCAAGAGTGGGATTAGGATGTGGTTCATTTTGGCTTGGAAGGTTGCCGGTACGTGGTGAGTCAGAACGGCATAACTAGATACTCGTATGACCCGTACCGAGTTCGGAAGGCAGTTTTGTGGACGGAGTTATCCGCCATTCTTACCTACTTGTATCCGGACCGCAGATCTAGTTTGGAAAATGCAATGGCTCCCCGAAGCTGGTCAACTAGGTCATCGATTCGTGGAATCCGGTATTTATTCTTGATGGTCTTCTCGTTTAGAGCTTGGTAATCGATGCACATGCGCAGGCTTCCATCCGGTTTCGGTGTGAAGAGTACTGGGGCACGGTATGGCAAAGTGGATGGGCGGATGAGTCCTTTTTCGAGGAGATACTCAATTTGTATCTTCATGCCAGCTAGCTCTATAGGGATGAGCCGATATGGTGCTCGATAGGTCGGCTTCGAACCTGGTTCTTCCACGATCTCGTGTTGGTGCGTTCGGTATGGCGGTAGCTCGTGCGGAAGGTCGTTGAGAAGAAAGTCTAGGAACTCATTCTGTAATTCCTTGATTTTTTGTGGAAGGTTCCGAGGCTTTCTTTTCGTCGTCTTCCATATCCGTTGCTATCGCTAGGAACCCGGTGCCGGTTTGTCTCACGTCCTTCTCGAATCTGGCGAGTGTCTTTACTGGGACATCTCCCGTAACGTCGCAGTTTGGTAGTTGGACTCTCCTTCCGTTGTTGTAGATGCTTGCAGTGCGGTTGACCCAGTTGATCTCGGGGTTGATTTTTTTATGAATTCTTGCCCGAAGTTCAGGCCAAGTCCTTTTATGTT